TTTATTGCTCACAATTTTATTTATTTTAGAAAGTGCAGTTTTGGCCTGCCCCATTCTGTTCGTTATCTCTGTGATACATCTTCCGTCGGATGGTATCCATGTGCCTAGATAATTTAACTTATGTGCTTGTCCTTAAAAAAATGTTTTTGACACATGACCGAAACCTCAAGGACATTTTAGAAAATATTCGGTTACGGCCTACTTCAGAGCTCTATTTCGGCACGGTCTCATGCCTCAGACGTGTGTGCAGGACTCGTCCATATGTGTTTCAGGGGACAAGCCTGGAACTCTCGAATGCAACCTTCCACATACGTGAAACATTCCACTGCACTAGTCTCTATGTCATTTACGCCACCAACTGCAAGAGATGTGGCATGAAATAGATGAAACTTGTGTATGACTGGCTGAAAGGTTCAGAAAACATCTTTTCGATGTGCCTTAAAACCAGTACCATTGCACTTCAATTCCCAGGATCACTAAACGCAACGTTTACGTTTTGTTTGTGTTTATTATATTGTGAATCCTGCTTTTCGTTCGGTTTTAAATCTGTATTCATCTGGGCACTATACATTTCTTGGAAATTACCATTACTTCTGACTTTCCATTATTCAAACTGAGGCCCATTGTATCACTTTCCACCCCCACCGTATCTAATAATTCCTGTAGTTCTTTCTGACTTGTCACTATCAAGCCGGTGTCAACAGCGAAACGTACGTTGTTTCTGTCCTTACCATCAACGACAATTCCTGGTATATCCATGATGGATCTCATTATATATTCACTGTATACTGAAAACAAATTAGGTGATAGTACACATCCTTGTCTTGCTTCCCTCTCTGTGCTCTGAAATTTTCCCAAATGGTTATTAATTCTTATAGCTGCCAAACATGGGCACTATCTAAAGCCCGTACACGCAAAATTACCACCTGCGAGATGAGGTGCCTGAGAAAAGCAGCCAACCTAACCATCCGAGATCGAGTGAATAATGAAACTATCAGGCAAATTGTGGGAACAACACCTTGTACTAGATTCATCGAGAAACAGCAGATCAAGAGGTTTGGCCATCTCGTTAGAATGCAGCAAGATCAAATACCTTTACAAGCACTACATCTCAGAAGATCAACTACAAGAGCAAGAGGACGGCAGCGGAAAACATGGATCGACAACCTTAAAGACACTCTACGCCTTCACGGCATGACAATAGCCAGTGGCAGCCAACGTGCACTGGATCGCACATTATTCCTAACCACGACGCTTAACAGCAGAAGTGGTTCATGATGATGATGATGATAGCTGCTGTTTGCTGCCAATACATATTAATGAAAATGTTAATTTTCCGATGCTGTTAGCTAAAAACTCGGAAACTACTGAACCGATTGCTTTCAAATTTGCACACAAGGTTGCCTTTGACTCCAAGCGTGATTTTTTTGTCATAAAATCGCCCAAACCACGAACGACGTAGCTCCAGCAACGGTCAAATCATTATTTGTTTCGTTGCCGGTCCGGATTTGTTTTTAGTTAATTGGAAATATTTGACTGCTGAGCTCTTATTGAACTTTGCATTATTATATAATTTCATTTCACTATTTGCTTGAGTGTTCGGTAGCGTAGTCGGTAGTTATTCTGCCTATCATGCTGGTGACCTGCTTTCGATTCCCCGCTAGGTGATATAACTGTTTTAGCCCTTAACTGGGCGGCTGGCACGATGTGTTGTGGTTTATGGCTAGGCTGCGATATCTACGCCTTTTTCAGTTTTGGGGTTTACAGCTAGCCTGCGACAGCGGCGACGTGATGCTCAATGGTCATGTTATGGGTTATCTTCGTTCGCCCCCGAGAGAACCGTTGGCCCGTTGTGTTGTGGTTTACATCTAGGCTGCGATATCTGACCTAAACTCTTCAGTCGTCGGTAGTATAGTTGTAAGTATGTCATCCTTCACGCGGGTGACCGGTGTTCGATTCCCCGCTGAGTGATAATTGTTCTTTTTCCCTTAAAAGGGTGGTTGCCACGTTGCGTTGTGGTTTACAGCTAGGCCTTTGGCCCAAAGACATCCGATTTCAATAAAGTCCTAATTAGCCTCCCAGCGACGCTTCTCGATCAAAAACTATTCGGCGATGACAGAAACTGTTAACTAAGACGGTTTAAAGTCTAGTTTAGTTTTAGTGGACACGGATGCCAAGGTCAGTTAAAAATCGTTACCTCGGAGAGGGATAGATGACGGGTGCGGGGTATTTTTCTCCGCTATTCGTGAGTATAGTGTACTTTTCACTGTGGGTTCCATCACTGGTTACGTGATTAAGTTTGTTTTTTCCTATGTCCGGGGCAAAATCAAACTAAATAGTCCGTGGCGACAGCATGCGGCGCTAACTCCTCTTTTCTACACCGACCTACACAGACTGTAGTGACAGTTTTTTGTTGTTGTTGTTGTTGTGATAGTGGTGGTGGTTTTAGTTACAGTAGTACTGGTACTGGATAGGTGATGTGGTAGCTGTTACACTGGCTACATTTACTTCTCTGTACAAGTTAATGCTACCTATTTAAGTCTGGGTAGACACGGATGCAAAGCTCAATTTAGTTACAATATTTCGTTATACGGTGACTTTCCCATCCTTCGGATAAGATGATATGATTGGGGGGAGGGGGGGGGGGTTATGCCAGAAACAGTTAGCTGAGAGCGCTTAAAATATTATTTTAAAGTTCTCATTTCTTAACTATTTCTATTTTAATAATTTCGCCATGGATAATTTCTCAGTCCTTCGGAGAGGGAGATATGACTTCGCCAGGTGATAATTTTTCAATCTTTGGGAGAGGGAGATATGATTGGGGGAGCGGGAGGGGGGGGTTATGCCAGACACCGTTAGCTGAGAGAGCTTAAAATATTATTTTCATGTTCTCATTTCTTAACTATTTCTATTTTAATAATTTCGCTAGGTAATGATTTTTCAATTTTTCGGAGAGGGAGATATCATTAAAGGGGGGGGGGGGGGGGGGGAGGGGTTGGTTATGCCGGACACAGTTAGCTGTGAGAGCTTAAAATGTTATTTTAAAGTTCTTATTTGTTAACTATTTCTATTTTAATAATTTCACTATTGATGATTTTTCAGTCCTTCGGAGAGGGAGATATGACGACGCCAGGTGATGATTTTTCAATCTTTTGGAGAGGGAGATATGATTGGAGGAGCGGGGGAGGGGGGGGGGGTTGCCAGACACCGTTAGCTGAGAGAGCTTAAAATATTATTTGTATGTTCTTATTTCTTAACTATTTCTATTTTAATAGTTTCGCCAGCTGATGATTTTTCAATCCTACGGAGAGGGAAATAGGATTGGTGGAAGGGGGAGGGGTGGGGTTTTATGCCAAACACAGTTAGCTGAGAGAGCTTAAAATATTATTTTAAAGTTCTTATTTCTTAACTATTTCTATTTTAATAATCTCGACATGGATGATTTTTCAATCCTTCGGAAAGGGAGATATGACTGCGTCGAGGGGAGAGGGGTGTGGGTATGACAGACACTATTAGCTGAGAGCTATTTTCTGTTCTCTCCATTTCACCATTCTGGGCCACAGCAACGCGTGGCCGGGTACAGCTAGTTCCTTATAATTCGTAAACCTTTTCTATCATGTCGATTTTTTCCGATAGTTTGATTATCATGCCTCACACAGTTAAATGCTTTCGTGTAGACACAGAAGCAGAAGTAATTATCGTATTTAACTTCTATAGCTCTTTCGGAAAGAGCCCTGAGGATGTATGTGGCAGTATTTGACCTTATCTTTCTACAAATCCAGACTGTTCGTCCCTAATTTCCGGTTTTAATCTAGTTTCTTATTCTTCTCGTAAATATTCTCAGTAACATTTTTGTCGTATGACTCATAAGACTTCTGGTGCGATAGTCTTCCCATTTTAAAGAGCTTGATTTCTTTGGCAAAGCAATGAACATAGCTTCTAATAGGTCACTATTATAAACGTCATTTAACAATTAATTAATTTTTTTTTAAATTCTGTTATTATTTCCATTCCAAAATATCCCAAATCCAAAATTTTTTTTTAATGCGATGTTATCATACCCAGATGCCTTTCCTTTTTTCATGTTATGCAATGCATCCTCAACTTCTGAAGCAACTTTTGGTCGGCCTTCACTGTTGTCCTGTAAATATACTTCTGGTCTATTATCATTATACAGATCCCCCAAGTACTCTGTCAATCTTTCAATTATGTCGCTTTGGCCCTACAATAGTTAATTTTTTTATATTTTAAACACCCACTGCTGTTACACCTCTTCTTCCCTGTTAATATACTTATCTGTTCGTGCATGGAATGTGAGTCTTTCCTGTGATTTTTCCCTATCTCTGTGCACATCTGATTCCACCAGGTTTCTTTGCATTTGCTTACCTTTCTTTTTATGTATACAAGAATATTCTTCTTTATCATTCTCTTTCTTTCTTCTATCATCCATCATCTGCAGAAATTCCTTTGTCATCCATTTCTTTTTTGTTTTCTCTTTTCAACTCAATGAGTTGGGGGAATAAGCTCTTTTGATGTCCGCCGAATTAACTCTGCCAGCATATCCCATTGTTCATCAATAGTTTGTATTATTTCCATCTGTTATATCTGTTTTGCCCAGTGACACTGTATTGTTCCTTAATTTCCGTATCCCCTTTAAGTATATGTAAATTAAACTTGATGTTCTAAAGAGTCTTTTTTATATTCTTCAGTTTTATTCTAAACTTTTCTATAACTGGAACATGATCACTATTATATAGATTTAGTGATTGACCGGGTATATACTACGACTGACTAATTATGGCAGTTATGCCGCCTCTAGGCGTAGATCCTATTCTAGAAGTTGAGTTTTTGAGTGCACGTCTGTTTCATAAATCCGGTTTATTTGTATCTAGACTTTTGGTTCCTTGTCTTTCAGGCAGATGCACTCCGACTCCAAAGGAAACCTCAATAGTCAACTTTTATGACATGGGGTGGGAGGGGGGATCTATTCCTCCACACCCTCAATGGGACCCGAAACCAACACGGAGATGGAAGAACGACGTCGGTAGTAAGGAGACAGAAGCAACACTCACAGGAACGATGCAGGCCTCGCTGATCGCTGGGTGCTGGGCAATTTTGGGCTCCAGCCAACCCGGGTACACGAACGTGGCTCCGAAGATGATGACGTCCTTCAACCTGCCCAGAACATACAAGTTTCCGTCTTCATCAAAGTAACCGCTGTCATCCATGTTCAGCCAGCCATCCTTGGTGAAGGCCAACAGAGTCTTGGGGTCCGGGTTCTCTACACGGTTCAGGTATCCTCTGAACCTCGATCTGTCTGGAGAAGATAGTCAGTGCTGGCGTTATTGCCTATACTTGGCGACTTTATATATCTCTATATATAGCTCTTACACAAACTAGCATCACGCATGATTACAAAGTGATATCATCTCATCACATAACAGCGTCTCGACATTACATAGTGACGTCGCGTAATTACATAGTGGTGTCACGTCATTACTTTGGGAAGATATGTCTTACATAGCGATGCAACATCACTGCATATTAATGTCACGTCAATACATAGTGGTTTCACGTCATTACAGTCATCAAATAGTAATGTCAGATCATTACATAATGGTTTTACGTCATTACATAGTGGTGTTAAATCATCACACACTAGGTAATTTGATCGATATGTTGAGCTATTTCGTTTATTACATATACCAGTGTTTCTCAACATGGGCGATACAGGAATGTCAAACCGAATTGGCAATTTGCAAATCAAATTCGCCCTTTTGCAAATCATTTTGATCTGTGTGCAAATCTGTTTGTGCATAAAATGTTTCTATAAAAATATTTTCTCAAGCGATCGTAATAAAAGTGACGTTTAATTTCAGCTACTGCTGCAGTTGAATATGTTATTGCCTGAATGCAAAAATAAACACTTTTATCTCGTTTTTAAATCCCCTTGATGGTTGGGGGTGGGGGGGGGGTGGGGGGGTTATTTATCCAGAGTTATGAGTGCAATAAATACAAAATGGAGGCTTTTAAGAAGGGAAATAAGCCAACCAAGACCGTGTTACTTCATCGCTATGACATTCACTAGTTTTCTCATGAACCAAGTTTTGTTAATTGAACGGTTGTTTGTTTTTAGAAAAGGCCTCTAACTATTTTGACAAATGCTTTGAAGAAAACTATAATTTCTGTTCCTAATGTATCAGGGGGAAAAGTGGCGGCCAGAGCATTTTTCCGCTGCTCGATAACTATGTCGAAACTAGTGCAATATGATCTCTGTGTTATTGTTTTTCTGGCAGAATTCACAGGTTTCTTCGGTATATTATTAGTAATTCAAGCCCACTCGACAGGTTTCTATTGCATGGGATTATAAGTTCGTCTTCAGAGTTAAATGTTGAAATACGAATTGAGATCATAACACTCGGGACACCCCCCTTAAGCGCCCAGTACCCATCTTCAGCAGCAGGCGAAGAGTTTTAATGCTGTTGCTAACAGTAACTGATTGTACATCCGTCTCGCCTTTCCCTTGAGTTAGCCAGATCGTAATGATCGATTTGTGCCTCCACACTGTTCACTCGCTCCCAAAGGGCCCTCACAACATCTAGCTTGTCATACATCAATTACCCATCAATTGGTACACAACCGGCCAGTCTATCTGCCTGTTTTTTTTTTTCAGTTCGTCCGTTATCTGACAATGTCTTTTAGGAGCATTGAACAACTTATATAAATGTCTACCCTTCAAACATTGATTCCACATTGAAGTTAATTATTCTGTTTTACCTTTTTTCAAATCAACAATTAAATGCCTTCTGTGCGCGTTACATAATGCTTGAACCGGATATTATTTTAATTAAATCACGCCCTTCAGGGCGATCACACCCTGTGCAGTACGGTCAATTTTCTCTCCAAAACTTCGCTGTAACTTTTATTTAGATGAAAATCGTTTTTAACACATGTGTACGTTTTCGCCAATATTAGAACACAGCGTATCACCGGGGCGAGTTTACCTTTGACATGTATGGTCCCTACTTGTCCTGTCTGACACTCTTTGCTGTCCGCGTCCACGACCCTCACCTTGACTCCTGGCGCCACCTGTCCACAGAAGTAGTCCTTCACCTTGTTCTCTACCAAAACAGACACGATAGCTGATATACTTTGACAAGCATGACAGTGGAGATGCATGAAGTGGCACATGATAGTGTCTATTGTTGTGTGCGTTGTTTTTTAAGGAAGAAATATGGGCACCAGATGGTTACGTGATGACAGTTTATGAAGATAACATCAGTGATAGAGAGGGAGGACGGAGACAGAATGGAAGAGAACAAACGAACGAACTTTATTTTTAAAGGGTTACAAATTGGGCACGCAGGCCCGTCTTACATTCGGTCCTTATAAACACCTGTCTTTCACACTGCAGCTGTATTTTATCAACAAGCATGCTGTATTCATATGATAATATGCATATTATGAATATCAAAAAAGAGGGGAAAAAAATCACAAAAGCATAGGTGTTAAAATGCATGCACACACACACACACCCACTTATTTAAACACACCCACATACCTTCACAAATACATAAACACACCCCATTCACCCACATACATACCCACATACCCACACAGACATACATATTCCACACACATACAAACATACAGATATACACATACAGACACACCCATAGCAACAAATGCACACACACACACAATCACACACGCAGATACACACACACATGCTACACACACACACACAAACCGGCATACACACACACGCAGCCACATATGCACAAACACACGCAGACACAAACACACACAGATACACTCGGAGACACACAAACACACACACAATCGCAGACACACACACGCGCTGATGCTCACGCAGACACATACACACAACCACAGACACACACACGCAGAAGCATACGCAGGCATTCATGCACACAGGCACACGCACAGATAGACACAGACACACACCCACAGACACACAAACGCAAACACATACGCAGACATACATATACACAGGCACACACACAGGCACACACGCAGACACACACACACACACACACACATGTAGACACATCCAGAGACACTACACACAGAGATACACACAAATACACACAGACATATACACACAGAGACATACACAGATATGTATATACACACAGGCATTCACGCAAACGCACATATACATACAGGCACAAACAAAGAAACACACACATTCACAGCAAAGACACACACATACAAACACACGCAGGCAAACACACAGGAGAGAGACGAGAGAGGGGTAGAGAGGAAGAGACAGGTAGAGAGGAAGAGAGGTTGGACGAAAAGAGAGAGTGAGAGAGCAAAGAGAGGGGAGGAGAAATAGAAAGAGACACACAGAGAGAGTAGGGAGATTTTAAACTTGCAAATTAAAATATTTTTTTAATACCATCAAAAATTCAATATGATAGAGGGCAAAGAGATGTAGAAACAGTGGATAAAAGCATTATCTTTTAAATACCTTCGCAATACCATATTGGAGACAGATGGATGGGGTGGGAGATAGAGCCGAGAGGGGAGAGTGAGGGGAGAGTGAGGGGAGAGATAGAGAGGGAGAGGAGATAGAGAGAAAAAAATGCATATGATAATTATTTTTTTTATATCTTTAAAATTGCCATAGGAGAAATAGAAAAAGAGAGATTGGATAGAGGAGGAGAAGGAGGGAGTAGATATAATGAATATATGTGCAAATATAAATAATACCTTTAAGGATGTCATATGAGATGAACCCCGCTTCAGTGCTTCCATACATTATACTGACTTCTCGGGCCACAGTAGAGTGACTGTGAAACTGGTCCTGTCAAACATACACAATTTTTCACTGCGAATACATATATAACATTACGTAGCTGAAACCGTAACAGTAACATTTCATATGTAATATTGGGTAGCCGACGCCATGGCGGTAACAACATATATGTAACATTGTGAAACAGATACTTTGACAGTAACGATAAATATAACATTAGTTATCATATGCCAAGAACAACTGTTAATATCTGACATACCAAATCAACATCTCACTTAACAATTCAACATCTCACACAACAATTATACACCACACATTACAAAAGTCATCCCAGATAACATCTACAGATCTCACACAACAAGCATGCATCTCGCATATCATTTATACATTCCATATAACATTTATACATCTCACATAAAATTTTGATATCACATAACATTAATAAATCTGACATAAGATATACAAATCCAGTGTAACATTTATACATCTCTCACAACAACTATAAACCCCCACCGCTCCCCCACCTCACCCAAAGTAAATTTGGCTTTAAATAAATGCTACATGTAAGCAACAAGAAAGTATATTTAGATTTACAAAACTGATACATATAAGCGACAAGAAAATACATTTGACTATAGATAACTGTTGTATATAAGCAACAAGACAGTGCATTTGGC